TTCGAATCTTACGCGGGAGAAAACCCGAACAACCAAAGATCCACATATAAATACCCGCGAGAACCTCAGAAAACAAATATATATATATATATATATACATACATACACACACACACACGTGTGTGTGTGTGTGTGTACATACATACATACATATATTTGTTTTCATAGATTTTCACGGGTACAGGTATTTAGGTCTAGATTTGTTCAGGTCTTTTCCCGTGTAAGATTAAGAGTATCTTGACGACGTTTCGGCAAGGTCCCACTCACCATCCTCAGGCTGGTGCTTTCGGCTTCATGCCAGTGCAAGCAGTGTGTGATCGGAGCTGCCGTCTCTCTATAAATACTGATGGTGTGCTGGGCTAGTTGGCTGCGCTGTGCCTCTTGATTGGTTGATGGAGTTGATGTTGGTATAATAGGCCTTGTGAGTTTTGTTGTGGAGATATCCCGGATCTTGTGCTGTAATCTCCTGGGTCGTTTGTTTTGTAGTTATCTTTTTTCCATTAGCCTCTCGTGTTTTAACGGCTTGGGTAATGGGTTGTGTGATGGGCTTGCAAGTTCTTTTGTTGTGGTATCCTGGGTCCTGCGTTGTAATCTCCTGGGTTGTTTGTGTTTTGATCTCTTTTCCATTAGCCTCCTGTTTAGTAACGGCTTGGGTAATGGGTTGTGTGATGACCTTGTGAGATTTATTGCTGTGGTATCCTTGGTCTTGTGCTGTGATATCCTGGGTCATTTGCTGTGTTGCAACTTCTTGAGTTCTTGTGGTGTAATTTCCTGACTTTTCTGATGTGATGTCCTGAGCGGGTGGCTGTGATATAGCATTCTGGGTTTTAGTCTGGCTTTGAATTTGGGGTCTGGGTCTGTGTTCTTGGCGTGTCAGCTTGTTTGGTTTTGGGGTTGGGGGTTGCGACAGCTGGTAAAGCAGCCGTGGTTTGTTTTCTGGATGGTGGTTGTCCTTCGTTTGTAGGATGGGCTTGGGCCTGGGTTTGATGAGGGGGATTGGCGGTGGTGTCCCGTGTTGTTTTGGGTCTGGTGTTGGTTTTTGTGGCTGGGACCCTTACCAACAAACGATATATACATATACACACACATATACATACATACATACATATGAGGGGGGGAGGGAGGTATAGATACGATGTGGAATGGAAAAACTAGTACAGGTGACTAAATCTTCTACACAACTTGCTAAATTGTAGGCAAGCAATGATTAGCAAAACCAGTTTGTTGAGGTAGTTAAAACATCAGGGTAGAAACCAGGAAACCGTACATTCTAGTTCCTCCTTGGGCATAAAGACAGCTATGTGATCTAGGGCCGATTACTGTTTCTCAGTTCTAGGAAAGAGGCAATGACAAATCATTTCGGAAAAACCCTGCCATGAAAACTACAGGTGTTGTCCATACAATCTCCAAGAATTATACATGACTGAATGGAAGCAAAAAAGTTTCAATATTTGTTTGTTTATTATTTAGTCAGTCAGTCACCTGAAAAGGCCTGAATGGACAATGCCACCCTGAGCTCACCCCTGTCCTGGCCCAGAAGCAGTTGGTAAGTGTGCTTTCCTGCAATACTTCCAAAGTGATATTTTCTGGTTTGCACCAGTGGTTTCTCTGCTGTTCTTTAATCTGAAATAGACAATGTGTGCATACCTATTGGTTAATGGATGGAATTGCCCTCCATTCAGATTGTGGCGATCCCTTCTTTTTAAAATAAACAGGTTTACTGATTAACCTTTTCTGTTGTTTTTTTTAACTACACTCATTGATGGCTAGGAATTAAAATCACTCTTCTGAATATGGTCAGCACAAGAGAAAGATAAATTTCATCTATGAATGACCTGTAAATATTTATTCCAATTGATTGCTACACCATATTTGTACTTGTAATGGTTATGGTTATCTGCCTATTTCACATTGTAATTTATCATTAATACATAGGAATTCCCAGTTCTTTATATGTAACCTGTTAGCACTTTAACTGTCCCCACTAAAATGAATTTAGATGCCTTCTGATTTTAAATTTATCAATTTAAATCTGTCCAAGATCAAGTGAGGTACTAATATCACTCTATAAAATCTTAGTAAGACCACACCTAGAATACTGCATCCAATTTTGGTCACCACACTATAAAAAAGATGTTGAGAGAAGAGAGAGATTGTTGAGAAAGATGTTGCAGAGAAGAAAGAGCAACCAGGATAATTAGGGGACTTGAGGTTAAAACATAGTATGAATGGTTGTAGGAACTGGGCATTGCTAGTCTAGTGATGAAAAGGACCAGGGGAGACATGATGGCAATGTTTCAATATTTGAGGGACTATCACAGAGAGGTTAAGCTGTTTTTTAAAGCACTTGAAGGCCAGATAAGGAATAATGGATGGAAACTGAACAAAGAGAGATTCAACCTGGAAATAAGGAGAATGAGAGCAATCAACCAATGGAACAGCTTCAGAAGTTGTGGGAGCTTCATTACTGGAAGCTTTCAAGAGATTGGACTACCATTTGTCAGAAATGGTGTAGGGTCTCTCTCCTCTTGGACAGAGTTGGACTAGATGGCCTATAAGGTCCCTTCCAAGTCTGTTAATCTGAATATGTATTTTCTCTCAGACACACCTCACAGGCTTTGAACTGAAATTTTTACATGGCTTGCTTTTTATTAAATTTTAAAGATCCATTCCCATCTGATCATTGTTCCACAAAACAGTACTTTTTACAGAAACTTAGATGAGCAGCTGCTGCTTCAAAGATTATTCTCGCCTACTTGCAATTCACATTCAGAACAGCAGGTAATTTCAAAGGGCAACAAGCACAATTTTTTAAACAATGGTTAATAATTTCTATCTATTAAAAAAAATATGTAATTGAAACTGAAGCCAGAAAGCAAGGTACATATTAAGAATCAGAAACTGAAATTGATTTAAGGAAATTAAGGTGAGTAACATAGAATAATTTCTTACCATCTATCATTCCATGATTGAAGATGCCATGTACCAATGTACTCCCTTTTCGGAAGTGATCTGTCATGTCCTCGAGCCAATTGGCTTCTAAGGCACAAATGCTTTTTCCACTGTTGATGAATCTTACCGGTACAATTACGGTGTAGTATTGGCTGGGTGTCTGCAAGGTCTTTGGCTGGTTGAAGAGTGCCAAGGTCTCAGTTTCTATACAAAAATATAAGAGTTGAAACAACAATTGTAGGACCAGAAAACATGATGCATTATCTTTTTCCAGATGTGCTAGGATCTGAAGCCCTGGGGCATGATTCTTACATAATTTGAGAGCATTAAGTCAGAATACTGCATTATATTATATGACATATAGTAAGTTTGGCAAGCACAACCTGAATTTTCTAATGTAAAATTGAAAGTTTTGAATAATTAATACAAATAGAATGATTTAATAATTAACATAATGATTTGCAGTATGTAATTAATATAAACATGTAGCATTAATTAAATAGAGTTAATATATTTAAATTATATGATGATCAAAACTTGCCACTTATAGCTGCATAAATAAAATCAAGCAAGAGACTATAGTATAGATTACCAACTTTCTTGCAATCTGCCTGATATCGCAAATTTTTTTTCACAGTATCCCTAACTCTACCTGTGAATTAATTTGGGTAGTAGTTTGAACAGTACCTGAGAGAGGTCTAGTCTATATTTGCCTTGAAAATTTAAAATATCTTGCAACACTGAGGGAGCGAGCAATATATACATTTTTGTAATCATAGAATTTGGAAAACCCTACTAAAAAAGACTGGTTGTATATTACACCAAAATATGAATAAATAATAAACATTTAATATAAAGATAAATAGTATATAAAACTTTGAATATTATTTTTATATTTATATTATACTATATTTATATTATACTATCTGCCACACTGTTTTAGAATAACAAATGGTGCCATGGCGCACATTTCTCTTCACTCAGAAATCTTTGCAAAGCAGATCTTTTCTGCTATGATAGTAGTAGTTCTTGTTTTATTTTGATTTCATGACCTCCTAGTACTATGCAGAATTATTATCCAGAAAAAGCAAGCAGTTACTTCCTTTAATTCCAGAAATTTCCATTTTTGGCAAGATCTTAACTTTTCTTTCATTTTCATAATGTGTGAAAAGTCTAGTGGTTTTTATTACTGTACAGAAAAATCACAATCTATGAACTGGTTATTTTTCTCTAAGTAATTTAACTGAAATGCTATATTATCTATAACTTAATTTTGTTATTTTTTTCCAATGCAACAGTTCCCAGAATATTGTTTATGCTAAAGTGGTATTTTATATATTGCCTGAACAGTATGTTTAAACTGGCAGATACATTACAAACAATGCTTTTTCTTTTTAATAATTAAAGAATGAGACATTTTGAGGCTGCTTGAAAAATGTTCATTCTTTGCCTCAGGGAAAACTCCTGCACATTTTCCCCCTTGTCATTAGGGATTATGACAATGGTTACTACAAAGTTAAACCATTCTTTTTCTTTCTTTGTTCCACTTTTAGCACTCCAATTGTTCTTTCAAATTGCAGAATTTATTTATTTATTTAATTTGTCAATCGCTTCCAGAATAATAGGTATAAGTATAAGCATGAATAAGGATACAGGAAATAGGTACGAATAAATTGGGACAATAGGACAGGGACGGTAGGCACGATTGTGCACTTATGCATACCCCTTACACACCTCTTAGGAATGGGATGAGGTCAATAATGGATAGTTTGAGGTTAAAGGAGTGGGGTTTGAGAATGTAACAACAGAGTCAGGTAGTGCATTCCAGGCATTGACCACTCTGTTGCTGAAGTTGTATTTTCTGCAATCTAGTTTGGAGGAGTTTACATAGAGTTTGTATCTGTTGCGTGCGCTTGTATTGTTGTGGCTGAAGCTGAGGTAGTCATTGACTGGTAGGACATTATAGCAGATAATTTTGTGCGCTACGCTTAAGTCCAACTGTAGTGAATGTTTTACACACGAGAAACTTGAAACATGAATGTTGTTAGACTGATAAATCCCAACACATATTAAGCCTAGGTTTTATAGAGAATTATAATAAAAATAGAAAAATCCCCCCCACCCCACCCAGGAATATTATTCAACATAGCATATGAAAAAGAAGCCAAAATAATTCCACATGTATCTTACTGTACAGGGATATATTCTTATACAAAGTGGGTAAAATAAACTATTTTGCTATTCATAATTAAGAGGCAGTAAGGTATGTAGATAAGCAAAGTTCACTGAAAGACGAACAAGATCAAATGAAAGAGCAATAGACATAATTTACAAAATGCAATGCATTCTAATTCAGTCAAAAATGATGTTTAAAAAAAAATCCTGCCTTTTCAAAACAAAGTCTTTTTAAAAAGGAACAAATAATATGAATGAATAGTAATTTTTATTTTATATGGTAACGTGGATAGTTCATAGCCAAAACAGTATGAGCAATTCCATTTTAGGGGGGGGGGGGAAAGAACTGTTGAATAGAATTAATCCTTGCCAAACCTCTCTAGCCACGATCATCACCATCTTCAAAAAGGGAGACCCCAGCCTAGTTGAAAATTATAGATCAATCTCTTTATGCTGCATCACCTGTAAAGTCATGGAATCAATTATCAACCAATCCATTATCCTCCACTTAGAGACAAACAACCTACTCTCTAATAAACAATTTGGTTTCAGAAAAAAACTATCCTGTAATCTGCAACTCTTACACTGCAAAAACATATGGACTACACAACTCAATCAGGGCAAAGCAATAGACGCAATTTACAGAGACTCCTGTAAAGCCTTTGACTCAGTGGTACATGACAAACTACTCCTAAAACTAAAATCTTATGGTATCTCTGGACACTTGAATAACTGTATAGAAGCATTCCTGTCAAACAGACTACAAATGGTCAAAATTGGGAGCATCCTATCAAATTCTGTACCTGTCAACATTGGTGTCCCCCAAGGCAGTGTTCTAGGACCAACTCTCTTCATACTCTACATAAATGACCTCTGCGTCATTTATGTAGAACTGCGTTCTTTTCACTGATGATGTAAAACTATTCAACACCATCAACAATACTGCTACCCTTCAAAAAGACCTCGACTATGTATCAGAATGGTCAAACAAATGGCAACTTCAAATCTCAACAAATAAATGCTCTGTCTTACATATTGGCAAAAAAAATCAGAAAATAAAATACAAGCTGAATAGTTAAGACCTTGTTGATGATCCAAACTCTGTCAAGGACCTTGGAGTACTCATCTCTAATGATCTAAGTGCTAGAGGCCACTGTAACTACACAGCCAAAAAGTCATTAAGAGTTGTTAACTTAATCCCACGTAGCTTTTTCTCTAGTAATATCACACTACTAACTAGAGCATACAAAACATTTGCTAGAACAATACTTGAATACAGCTCATCAGTCTGGAACCCGCATTACGTATCTGATCTTAATACAGTTGAGAAAGTCCAGAAATATTTCACAAGAAGAGTTCTCCGTTCCTCTGTTCATTGCAGAATAGCTTATGTCACCAGACTTGAAATTCTAGACCTAGAAAACCTAGAAAACCTTCAGTCCGATCTAAGCATAGTACATAAAATTATATATTGCAATGTCCTACCTGTCAATGAATACTTCAGCTTCAACCATAGCAATACAAGAGCACACAATAGATACAAACTCAAGGTAAACTGCATCAAACTTGATTGCAGGAATACGATTTCAGCAACAGAGTGGTCAATGTCTGGAATACTCTACCTGACTCTGTGGTTTCTTCCCTAAACCCCAAAAACTTTAACCTTAAACTGTCTACTATTGACCTCACCCCTTTCCTAAGAGGTCTCTAGGGGGCGTGCCTAAGTGCACCAATGTGCCTACAGTCCCTGTCCTATTGTTTATTTTATTTTTCTTATATGTATCTATTTCATGTATTCATAACTATGTTTATACTTATACCTATTATCTTATAATTGCTTGACAAAATAAAATAAATAAATAAAAAATTAGGAACGGATAATAAACTGAGAAAATATGGTGACACAGCTTCATTCTTAGTTGTTGCTTGTATGAATCACAAAACACTACCAATATGTATGTTTTTAGAAATATTCTTAAAAGGAAAAAGGAAGTGGTGCCTAAAATATACTAATATACCGTATGTATGATTTCCTTCAGGTATTAGTTCAATAACTTACTTGGTGTTAATGCACAGTAATTGGTCTAAAATGTAATTTCTTCCATCTTCCAATATTGTATGAATTTTAACTACAATATGGCATGGAACTGAAATATAAATTCTCTGAATTCCAATTTAGACACTGAAATAAAGTCAAAATCAAGAACGTAAAACAAAACAAATGTTACACAGATTTTTTTTACCTGAGAAGTTTACGGTAATGGAAAGAAGAATTGCTCTTTTGAAAAATAAACTGAACCTAAAATCAGAGCAAAAAGGTGACTAATCAGAACTAAAATTTACATATTAAAATCTGTAACTTTTGCACCCTTTAGCTAAATAGGCATTTTCCTTCCTAAGATGTTGATACCAGGCGTCAACTACTTTTATGCTTCCTATTTTTACTTCAGACTACGCTTAGCAATCATGCAAGGATTTAAAAGCAAAGAAAGCAGTGTAAGCAATGCATAAGAAAAAGCAAAAACATGGTCCTTCCTAAATGAAAATGTTCTTAATGCTAGGCATTTTAGTTCTGATTTGTTTTGAAAAGTAATAAATACTTTAAAGATAAATACTTAAAGATAAATAATAAATACTTCTGCTGAAACATCTGACCCAAGAGTAATTGCTGTGTATGTTATGTACATGGCAAAAGAGCATAAATGTTATCAAAATGTTATCCTCATAATACATAGTAATATAAATTAACTTCTCAGAAGAAATCAATTTAAGTCTGTAAAGTTGTGTATCTATTGTTCTGGCAATAATGCAGAATTAGTAAAAGGGTTGAATAGATCACTTTGGAACCCAATTCAAGATTTAAATAGCAGCAGAAAGTAACATAGAAAGTAACTTAGAAGTGTGGCCTGATATTAGAAATTTTCAAATGGTCAAAAATTCCTAGAAGGGGAAAGATGACACTCACTTGATAATTTAAGGAGATTGTAAAAAGTCTGTCAAATCCTCAAAAGGGATTGCTTTCTAGACCA